GAAAATGCTGACAATATGCACAACTAGACTTGGTACTGATCATTCCTGTAAAGTTTGGATGAAATTGCACCAGTAGTTTATGAGGAGTAGTCCGGACAAGTTTTGTGACGGACGGATGGACAGACAGACAGACGGACAGACAGACAACGGAGAAGTGATCCCTATATGTCGCCACTACTCCGTAGAGGCGACACAAAAACTGCTTTAATACTAATCAAACTTGGCACAAATGTTCACTGGACCATTGCCCTTGCAACAACATGCTCAGGCATAAATTTCTGATACCATGGCAACGAGGGGACATCTCAAAATTGCCAAAAATCACTATTTTGCGTTGATTTTTTCCATCAAAATTGATTTCAAAGTGCTGCAACTTCTCAATGGATTGAGATAGAGTCAAATGCTTTTCAGCGTTGGTTACATGTTACCTTATGATCAATCTGGGGTCATTTTTAGCCTCTCACAAGTCCAAAATTTTCTTGGCGAACACTGTGGGCCAAATGGAACTTAAGTTATGCTCCGGAAACTGTTTTCAGTTTTAAGGTCATAGTGACCTTGACCTTTGACCTTGTGACCCCAAAATAGGGGTCTTCTACCCAATATGGGCAATATCCTATGAAGTTTGAATATTGTGGGCCAAATGGAACTTAAGTTATGCTCCGGAAACAAAATTGCTAACGGACGGACGGACAGACGAACGCCAGGGGGTATCACATAATATGCCCGAAATTCTTTCAGGCATATAAAAATAAATAAATCAATAAAAATCAACAAAGGGCAATAACTCAAAAATCATGGAGTACAGGTTTTTGTGCACTGCACTTCATCTCCATGAGATCTATCGTTCCATAAAGTTTCATGTCCAAAGCTTTTATAGTTTAGGAAAATGACCCAGACAAATATAAAGAATGAAAATTAACAAAGGGCAATAACTCAAAACATAAGAAGTGCAGAGTATCAGTTCTTGAGCACTGCCCTTCTTCTTAATGAGATCTATCATCCTATGAAGTTTCCAGTCAATGGCTTTTATTGTATAGAAGAAATGGCCCGGACAAAAATAAAGTATGAAAATAAACAAAAGGCAGTAAGTCAAAAATTAAAAAGTGCAGAGTACTGGTTCTTGTGCACTGCACTTCAGGTTATTGCAAGAAGCATGCATACCAAGTTTGGAGTCAATCTGACTTATAGTGACTGAGTTATGCTCCGGACAAGCTTTAGGGGACGCCAATGCCTACAACGACGCCGACAAAAGTAACCTCTATATGTCGCCTTTTCAAGGCAACCAAAAAACATCAAGTTGCAGAAACTACAAAATCCACATATAAAATTGAAGGAAAAATTAGCGAATCTATTTTTCGCGATATTCATTGCGAATACAGTGGAAATTAGATATGAAGAAAAAAAAACCTGATATATGCTTATAAAGAATGTTAACACAAATAGGAAAAATTACTGTTGTTAAGTCAATACTCCTTCCTTTATTTACTCATTGTTTTACAAGTTTACCAACACCTAATTCAGTATTTTTGAAACACTTAATGAAACACTTTTTGAAACACTTAATGACTTATTTTATAATTTTATATGGGAAGGTAAAGCAAAGCTAAAGCAATCAGTAGTAATCAAAACATATAAGGAAGGTGGTCTAAATATGATTGATATTGACAGTTATATACATTCTGTAAAGATAAAATGGTTTAAAAGATATATTATTAAAAGTAACAGTAAATGTTATAAGTTAGTGATGGCTTTATTCAATATTGATAAAGTGTTTAGCACAGGTAAATTGTTTTGTAAACTGACAATTGATAAAATTAACAAGAGGGCCATGATGGCCCTAAAGTCGCTCACCTGTATATAGGCCCCCGGAGCGGTGCCAGTTTAAACCCTAGGGCTTTTTTTTTAACAAACTTGGTTGACACCCATTAGAAGATGTTTCATGCTAAACATCTAAGGTCTAGCTTGTTGGGTTTTTTAAAAGAAGATTTTTTCAAGTTTTTTTCTTTACACATATAGTTAAAAACAATGACACACCTGGGGCAGGGCCAGTTTTGACCCCAGGGCTTTTATTTGAACAATCTTTGTAGACACTTACTAGACAATGTTTCATGCTTAATATCTGAACTCTAGCTATTCAGGTTTTTTCAAAGAAGATTTTTAAGTTTTTGCTATACACATATAAGGAAAATCAATGTCCCCTGGGACGGGGCCAATTTTGACCCCAGGGCTTTTATTTAAACAAACTTTGTAGACACTCACTAGAAGATGCTTCGTGCTTAATATCTAAACTCTAGCTATTTGAGTTTTTTCAAAGAAGATTTTGTAAGTTTTTGTTATACACATATAAGAAAAATGAATGACCCCCGGGGCGGGGCCAATTTTGACCCCGGGGCTTTTATTTGAACAAACTTGGAAGACACTCACTAGAAGATGTTTCATGCTTAGTATCTAAACTCTACCTATTTGTTTTTTTTCAAAAAAGATCTTTTAAGTTTTTGTTATAAACATATAAGGAAAATGAATGACCCCCGGGGCGGGGCCAATTTTGACCCCAGGGCTTTTATTTGAACAAACTTGGTAGCCACTCACTAGAAAATGTTTCATGCCAAATATCTAAGCTCTAGCTCTTTGGGTTTTTTAGAAGAAGATATTTAAAGTTTTTTCTTTTGGTTGCCATGGCAACCAGAGTTCTGCATGGAATGGAATTCTTTGAACAACTTTGTTAAGGCTTTACACAAGGAACATCCCTGTGAAGTTTCATTATGATCTGCCTTATGGTTTCAGAGGAGATCTCGTTTTAAAAGTGTGAACGGACAACGGACGACGTACGACGGACGAAGAGTGATCCTAATAGCTCACCCTGAGCATATGCTCAGGTGAGCTAAAAATGCTTTTTGGATAGATGTTTTAAAAGCCTATATGATTTTTACAGATAAACTTTGTATAGATAGTTTAGAACAAGTGTTACACACGCCATTGTTTTACAATCACAACTTTTTAGCAGGAAATAGAAACTTTTTATATTCAACATTTTTTTTATGAAAAAGGAATCAGATTTGTTAATGATTTTATTAATCAACAAGGTGATTCTGTAGATTTAACTTACTTAGAGCAAGTGACACAAAATCAAGTCCACTTTTTACAATATCATAGTTTGAAAAAAGCAATATTATTATACATGCAAAGGCTTGACATTTCTATTTGTAAAGATTTTATTTATGTTCAATACCCCATTAGGAGTTGTTATATCAAACCTATTTTAATTACACTAAACAACAATAAGAAATATAGTTATGAAACTATAAAGATTACCAACATGTCAAGAAAAATGGAACTCATATTTTACAAATTTTGATATAAATTGGAATTTAATATAAAGTTATGTATTTAAATGTACCAAAGATTCCTATATTCAGTGGTTTCAGACAAGACTAATTCATAGAACTTTAGCAACTAACTCACTTTTATTCAAAATGAAAATTGTTAACAGTGCAAGAGCGATCAGTGATCACATGTGTCGCCTCATGATGGCCAATTTCATGTTGGGACAAGTTTTGTGACAGACGGACAGACAGACGGACAGTGCACAACTAGACTTGGTACTGATCATTCCTGTAAAGTTTGGATAAAATTGCACCAGTAGTTTATGAGGAGTAGTCCGGACAAGCTTTTGTGTATCTGGCAACACACAGAAAAAAACACCTTTTTATCAAAGGGCCATAACTCGGCCAAAAATTATTCAACCGGAAAACCCCTGCAATATGCGCAAGTACTTGAGCTACAGATCAATCCTGTAAAGTTTCATTGAAATTGCATTAGTGGTATAAGAGAAGTAGTCCGGACAAACTTTAAAAATAAAAATTATTAAAGGGCCATAACTCTGACAAAAATCATTGAACCTGAAAATGCTGACAATATGCACAACTAGACTTGGTACTGATCATTCCTGTAAAGTCAGGATAAAATTGCACTAGTAGTTTATGAGGAGTAGTCCGGACAAGCTTTTGTGTATCTGGCAACACACAGAAAAAAACACCTTTTTATCAAAGGGCCATAACTAGGCAAAAAAAAAATTGCACCAGTAGTTTATGAGGAGTAGTCCGGACAAGTTTTGTGACGGACGGACAGACAGACGGACGGACGTACCAATTTTTCAGGTTTATGAGCTATTTCTTTTGTTCTTTTCTTTTGTTTCCTTGTGGGCTAACTATTGTTTCCTTATGACCTAACTATTATTAACGGAATGAAGTCCTTTGTTCTCTTTTGTCCCAGTGTACTGTTAGTTAGCTCATATACCTAAAATGTTTGTGCGGACGGACAGACGACGGAGAAGTGATTCCTATATGTCGCCACTACTCCGTAGAGGCGACACAAAAATGTGTACTTTTTGCAATTGCCAAGAGGAAACTCTGTTGCATTTATTTTGGGAATGTCCAAAAATTCAATCTTTATTTCAATATCTGAAAGACAATATAGATAATTTTGATGATCATTTTAATTGTAAATCATTTATTTTAGGTTCTAAAGTTAATAATTTAAATATGATATTTTGTTTTTAGAATTGAAAAGATATATTTATTTGTCAAAGAGAAAAAAACATGTTACTTACATTACCTTGGTTTAGAAATAGTCTTAAATTGGCGTGGAATATTAACAAAAATACAAATTTGACCAAGATGGCAAATTATAAGAACTTTAATAAACTAAATGGGCTGCACTAAATTAATTTACCCCAAACCAATATTCTTTGTTTCTTTGATTTTTTTGCATGATACATAATCATACATATTTGTTATACTTATTATATGAAAAGTGATTGAATATTTAAATATAATGTATATTGTAATTATATTATTTTAGACGATGATTGTAATATAATGTAGATATCATGTAAGGTATCAGGGGGATGACCCCGACCCTCTAATACCTATTACGGGGTAAATAAATGGGGTTACCTAGTTGGGGCCTCAAAAAAAGAAAAAAAAAAGAAAGAAAAGAAATATGCTTATATTTTTATATAAAATTAATAATTTCTTAATGATTAATCTTGTAATATTGATAATATTACATTAATTTTCAGTCCAAAATCAGCATTTTTTCAAGTTTTACAGACCATTGAGTATACGCTGTGAAACCGATAGGGATGGACAAACATCAGTTCAATTGATATCCCACTTCCGCTTTTATTGGCATGGGATAACAATATTGCAGATGAAATATTTAATATCAATCATTATATGCATGTATACATGTTTTCCTTGATAACTTACAGTCCAATTCTTAAAGTAACTGTTGTTTCTTTTTCTTAAATGCACCAATGAACACCGACTGCTAAATACATATCATTTGACTCTTTGCATATCAAGGTACACATAATGAATTAAAGTTTTGATTTAGTTCCATCCTCTTCATCATTACAGCCAGCATTGTCTGTTTCCCATTTGTAAGCAGGTATCTTATTGTGATCTTAAAACAAAATAAAACGCACAATGACTAATATGAATTATATATGTTAAAGAGCCACCACTGAGCGGGTGCTATGCTAAACTTTTCACTATTTCAAAGACAAATACATCAGTACATGAACAGTAAAGTGAAGTTTTAAAGAAGAGCCTCGGCCATGATTGAACAAACTTGGTAGCCACCTATAAGAAGATGTTTCATGATAAATATCTGAGCTCTAGCTCTTTGGGGTTTTAAAAGAACATTTTTTAAGTTTTACTATATACATAAAGGGAAAAACAATGACCCCCTAGGATGGGGCCAATTTTGACCCCACATGGCTTTTATTTTGACCTTGACCCTGGAGGTAGGGGTCTGTTGGTTGCACATGACACATTGTCTTATTATAAGAAACATTTGTGCCAAGTTTTTTCAGATTCCTTCAATAAATGACAAAGTTATGGACCGGACACGAAAGTGTGACGGACGGACAGATGGACGGACGGACGGACAGACGGACAGAGTCTATTTCTACATCCCCCTTTTTTCTTCAAAAAGGCGGGGGACAACGAGGCCATTGGACCCAAAGCGCTCACCTGAGGACAGACTGTTATTTGTGTGAAAGCAGTGCTTAAAGTTAATGTTTATTACAAGAATTTGAAGGATGTTGGTCACTAGGTCAATATTAAGGTCATTTGATTCTACACCTGAAATTGTGCACATGGTCAAAATGTGATAGCTGTATATAAACAATAGGCCATGATGGCCCTTATATCGCTCAACTGATTATTGAGACTCTGGATCAATATTGTTATCATATTGAAAGGCAGACATAATGCATTAACTTAAACTGATATTATAAAATTCATATCTGCACCTGAAATAGTGCAAATGTTTATAAGGTTTTTTCCATTATAACTTTTTATGTGCTGTGACCTTTTTTGACCTCAGATGACCTATAATTAAACCTGAACCGCAAATCATTCAAACAAAATAGTAACCCTTCTGACCAAATTCCAGGATATTTGAGCTAAAGTGTAACCTCTAGAGTGATAAAGTTATTCCATTTTTGGTTTGTGAGATCCTACATATTACCGGACAAAATATGATGTTTTGTCGCTGTAACTTTTATTTAGAATAACTAGAACTATCACTAAATGTGATTAATACCCCCACAAAACTGCTTAGGAAATGAGGATGTTACTAGTAACAGAATATCTTGTAAAAGAATTGAAATATAGAAATATGGTTGTGGGCAATTAAAGATAGTTGTGGTTCTTGTATATTGCATTTCCTTTCAATGTGGTTGGCCATTGATGAAGTTTTATTGAATTACTCTGTAATAAGTCCAGAAAGACAAAGAAAAGGAACAAAGGGCAATAACTCTATAAATACTGAAGATGGAGTTATAGTTCTTGTGCACTGCACTTCCTCTTTTTGTGCTTGACCATTGTATGAAGTTGTTTTGAATTTCAACCAGTACGTTTTAAGTTATGCTCCAGACAAGGAAAAGTATCAAAGGGCAGTAACTCTGTATTTTGTCAAAATGGAGTTATGGCTCTTATGCACTGCACTTCCTTTTAATGTCCTTGACAACTGTATGAAGTTGTATTGAATTCCAAACAGTAGTTTTGAAGTTATGCTCTGGACAAGGAAAAGTAACAAAGGGCAATAACTCTGTAATTTGTCAAGATAAAGTTATGGTTCTTGTGCACTGCACTTCCTCTCAATGTGCTTGACCATTGTATGAAGTTATATTGAATTCCAACCATTAGTCTTCAAGTTATGCTCCGGACAAAAAAAGCAATGGAAAAGTAACAAAGGGCAGTAACTCTGTAATTAGTCAAGATGGAGTTATGGTTCTTGTGCACTGCACTTCCTCTCAATGTGCTTGACCATTGTATGAAGTTATAATGAATTCCAACAATTAGTCTTCAAGTTATACTCCGGACAAAAGAAAGCAATGGAAAAGTTACAAAAGGCAATAACTCTGTAATTACTTTAGATAGAGTTATGGTTCTTATGCACTGCACTTCCCCTTACTGTGTTTGACAATTGTATGAAGTTGTTTTGAATTCCAACCAGTAGTTTTCAAGTTATGCCCCGGACACAGAAAAGTAACAAAGGGCAATAACTCTGTAATTAGTCAAGATAGAGTTATGGTTCTTGTGCACTGCACTTCCTCTCAATGTGCTTGACCATTGTATGTAGTTATATTGAATTCCAACCATTAGTCTTCAAGTTATGGTCCGGACAAAAGAAAGCAATGGAAAAGTAACAAAGGGCAATAACTCTGTAATTACTTTAGATAGAGTTATGGTTCTTGTGCACTGCACTTCCCCTTATTGTGTTTGACAATTGTATGAAGTTGTTTTGAATTCCAACCAGTAGTGTTCAAGTTATGCCCGGACAAGGAAAAGTAACAAAGGGCAGTAACTCTGTAATTAGTCAAGATAGAGTTATGGTTCTTGTGCACTGCACTTCCTCTCAATGTGCTTGACCATTGTATGTAGTTATATTGAATTCCAACCATTAGTCTTCAAGTTATGGTCCGGACAAAAGAAAGCAATGGAAAAGTAACAAAGGGCAATAACTCTGTAATTACTTAAGATAGAGTTATGGTTCTTGTGCACTGCACTTCCCCTTATTGTGTTTGACAATTGTATGAAGTTGTTTTGAATTCCAACCAGTAGTTTTCAAGTTATGCCCCGGACAAGGAAAAGTAACAAAGGGCAATAACTCTGTAATTAGTCAAGATAGAGTTATGGTTCTTGTGCACTGCACTTCCTCTCAATGTGCTTGACCATTGTATGTAGTTATATTGAATTCCAACCATTAGTCTTCAAGTTATGGTCCGGACAAGGAAAATGCAACGGACGTCTGGACCGACCGACCGACCGACCGCCCGACCGACCAACCGACCACCGGGTGACTCCTATATACTCCCCCAAACTTCGTTTTTGGGGGTATAATAAAAAAGAATGAAATTTTACCCAAATAATTGTGGGTTCTTAATATACGTAAACATTCCTTTATCAAACATAAAATTAAACATTTGACTGTATAAATGTGTCTTTAAAGTAGGGCATTAAGAGAGGAAAAGATCGTGTAGACAACTCAATTTACCAGACACTGTGTTTCAAATTTTTTTAAAGTCTTAAATTGAAATTAAGCAAGGAAACTAAGACTATTGAATGGCAATGTGAAGATACTGGAAAAAACCAGTATGTCACTAAAATAGACACGGCAGCCATGCTTGTTAAAGTAAAGTAAAACCTGTCTAAAATAACCCATTAAGGGCCTCAATATTCGGGAATGCGCAGAACATATTATTCCCCCGCATGACCAGGTCATGGAATAACTAGTAAACACAAGCAATTATATTAGTATTGCAAGCAATCCATAAGTCCCCTACCGGTTAGAACCCCATCAACATTCTGAAGGGCCAATGGCCATTCACTAATGTTTCAATTTTTCTATATTTTAAGTAAATTTGTTGGAAAAGTTCTTTAAAAGTGATCACAGGAAACAGTTTTTATGAACAGACAGACAGACGGACTGAAGGACACTCTAAAGTTAATATTTGAAACATCCCTGTTACCAAAATATAACATTTTTAAAAGCAAAATGCTTAAAGAGGAGATAACTCTTGAATTAAAGATGCAATTTCATAAAAAAATTTCAGCTCTTTTTGACTTATCACAAACAATGTTATATTTGCCATGTTTTAAGCCTATTTGTTGCCAAGGCAACCAATATTTTTTCAAAATAGGGAGAACAGATAAGACATGCATAATCTCAATACTGCCATCTACCCATATATCAAGTTTCATAAAAATATTTCCAGTACTTTGAGTTATCACTGGATTCAGTGTAAGTGTAAAATTTGCCATATTTTCAGTCTATGTGTTGCCATAGGAACCAGAATTTTCAGCATAGGAAGAAAAGAAAAAACGTGCATAATCTCCAGACTGCCATCTACCCATATTACAAGTTTCATAAAAATATTTCTATTACTTTTTGCGAACACAGGATCCAGTTTATGTGTAAAATTTGGCATATTTTCAGTCTATTTGTTGCCATAGCAACCAGAATTTTCAACATAGGAAGAAAAGAAAAAGACGTGCATAATCTCCAGACTGCCATCTACCCATATTTCAAGTTTCATAAAAATATTTCCAGTACTTTTTGTGTTATCACTGGATCCAGTTTATGTGTAAAATTTGCCATATTTTAAGCCTATGTGTTGCCATAGCAACCAGAATTTTCAACATAGGAAGAAAAGAAAAAGACGTGCATAATCTACATACTGCCATCTATCCATATATCAAGTTTCATAAAAATATTTTCAGTACTTTTCAAGTTATCGCGGGATCCAGTTTTGTGGACGGACGGACTGACGGACTGACAGACAGACAGACAGACAGACAGACAGACTGACAGACAGACAGACAGACAGACAGACGGACAGACGGACGGAGGGTAAACCTAAAGTCCCCTCCGGTAAACCGGTAGGGGACTAAAAAGGGTATGTTAGTAAATAAAAAACTGAATCGACAATATTTGCCTGAGAGTGGTTTTGTTGTTATTTACTTTGAAATAGAAAGTGTGTGTACGATTCAGACCGGATGATTTTCTTAATCGAAGCAAAAAATAAAGCCTTATTTTACAGGAATAGATTTTGTCCGGTAAACTGATTGTCCGGTAAACATGTAGGATCCCAGTATAGATTTATTGACCATGGATGACCCATGTTCAAAGCTGAGCTAGAAATCATCAAAATAAACTTTCTTACAAATTTTCAGAATATGTGGGATAACAATATTACGTCTAGTTTGCAAACAATATTTTTCCATAGTCTGGGTTGTGTGACCTAGTTTTTGATCCCAGATTGAAACCATCTAAACAACCTTTCTGACTTTTTTTCAAGGATATTTCTACCTAAACAGTAATCCTCTACAGTGATAGCAAGGTTCTTCCATATTTCGGCTGTGTAACATAGTTTTTGACCACAGATGAACTGTATTTGAAACATGCCATAAAGTGGTACATGGAAGTGTTCAGTTATGGAAAAATAAAAAATAAAACTGCCACTGTCATTGCATGAATACCACTTTGTCAGAATCAACAGTGGTAATTAAGAACTCAAGGACAACCTCCAGTGCATTGCTAAGTTATGTATTCTACATGTTTTAGTGGCAAAGATCAAAGTGACCTTTACCTTTGACCTACTGACCTCAAAATTGAAACTGCCACTTCATGACTTGAATACCCCTCCCCCCATTCATGCAGCTTTGCCTGGGGGTGTTTCTTATGAATATATGAGAACATATCAATTATATACTACAAATATGAAAATGTCAAAATCAATACACTGCACACAGGCATTCTTAAGCATTTGAGCAGACAAGCTTATTGTAGTAAAAGTCCCTGTGACCTTGACCTTTGACACAGTCACCTAAAAATGAATAGGAGTCATCTACTAGTCATAACCAACCTCAATACCAAATATGAAGACTGTTGACCAAAGCATTCTTAAGCGATTGAGTGGACAAGCTTTTTGAACTAAAAGCCCTGTGACCTTGACCATTGATCCAGTGACCTCAAAATTGATAGGGGTCACTTAATGGTCATGACTAACCTCCATGCCAAATAAGAAAGGAGACTTATGACATTGGGTGGAAGATTTTTATAGTCAAGGCCCTTCTGATCTTAACCTTTGACCTGATGACCTCAAAATAAATAGGGGTCAACTGTAAAGTTTCATGACTCTAGGTCAAATACTTTTTGAGTTACATGCGACACAAGTTGAAAATTGCAAAATTTTACTAAGTCAAGGGCAATAACTCTAAAAATACTAAAAATATCCAGACGAGAATACCCAGGTGCACAACTACAGGTGCTGATCAACATTCCTGTAAAGTTTCATGACTCTAGGTCAAATTCTTTTTGAGTTACATGTGACACAAGTTGAAAATTGCAAAATTTCACTAAGTCAAGGGCAATAACTCTAAAAATACTACATAAATCCAGACGAAAATACCCAGGTGCACAACTACACATGCTGATCAACATTCCTGTAAAGTTTTATGACTCTAGGTCAAATACTTTTTGAGTTACATGCAACACAAAAGAGAACGGACGGACGGACGAAAGGACAAGGGTAAATCTAAATGCCTGCCACTAAAGTGGGGGCACAAAAACAAGCACCAGGTTTATAAAAAAAAATAATGTCATTTAAAGGTTAGTGTCAAATGTAAAGTATTTTAGGCCAACAGCAACAGGAATGCAAACAAGTGAAAGAAATACCACTTTTTTTTCTTTTAAGTACAGGTTGCTAAAATACACTCCCTGTAGTGTGTTTACATAAAGAAAATTTTAACAATTAAGACGAAGTACAAATATGGATAATTCTTCAATAACAAGAGGGCCATGATGGCCCTATATCGCTCAACTTAAGGAAGAGATCTTAAAAGTATTTTTCTTTTTAAAAAAACAAGCACCAGGTTTATAAAAGTCTTTAGTGTCATTTAAAGGTAAGTGTCAAATGTAAAGTATTTTTGGCCAACAGGAATGCAAACAAGAGTATAGAAATACCTCTTTTTTTCTTTAAAGTACAGGTTGCTAAAAAATACACTTCCTGTAGCATGCTTACTGCCTTACATCATGAGAAATTTTAACAATGAAGACAAAGTACAAATTTGGATAATACTTCAATAAAAATGGGTAAAAAACAAAAATGGCCGGGTTGCATTTGTATACCAAATAACATGAAGCTGTGATGTCACAAAAATTTCCTACCATTGACCATTAATGTGGAACATTTAACTAAGTCGGTAAACAGGAAGTGGATAAGCAATAGACCTGAACTTGGGACCACGTGTTAATGCAGTCACAATACCATAGCATAATAGCATGTGTCATAATGATGACTATGTTTGTAACAAGTCAAGCTTTATTTATAAAAGTTTACCAAATTAACGTATTGATTTACTTATGTCCAAAATGAGTGAATCTTCCGCTATTTATAAAATATTCGAGCACTTTATTAAATTCACTGTGACTTTTGATGTAAATGAAAAAGTGTTCAGTATAGAAACATTATCGTTGCAATATTGTTTTACAGCATCGAAAAAAATATCAAACAGCAGTAGAACTATCTCGAAAATGATAACCAACCCGGGAGGATATCTGGATCGACCACGCTGAAAACGTTTTCACTATAGTGGTGTATTACTGAGTAAACCTCACTCTATGTTTTTATCACAGACTTGTATTTCCGCTGGTAAACATTCGCTAATTTAACTTTGTTAAATATCGACTTTGGGATATTAGGCTCAAGAAAACAAGACATGGATATATCATACTTTTATTTTATTTGACTTTAAGTATGCACATGCCTTTGTAAGAATCAGTGACTGCCTTGTTCAAACCTTATACGTTGATCTCGACATTTCGTTATCTCGATATTTTTTGGAGGGTCCCGATGGCTTTGAGATAAGGAGAGTCGACTGTAGATGTACACAATGAAATCAATGACCGCCTAAGGCAGAGTCAATTTTGACCCCAAGACCATAATTTGAAAGAGGTCTGCTACAAAATGTTTAATGCCAAATATCTAACCTCTAGCCTTTGTCATTCCTGAGATAAGTTTTTACTAGATACATATAAGGAAAACCTATGACCACCCAAGGTAGTGTCAATTTTGAAACTAGGGACAAGTTTGAACAAGTTTGGTAGAGGACCTCAAGATGATATTATATACCAAACATCAAAACTATGGGCTTTATACTTTCAGACAAGATGATGTTTTAAGTTTTTTACTGTATGTACATAATAAAAATCAATGACTCACTGGGGCAATCCCAATTCTGACCCCAGGGCTATTATTTGAACAACCTTGGTAGAGGTCTACTAAAGAATGTTTCATGCCAAATATCTAACCTATTTAACCACAATTCAGAAGAAGATTGTTTATGTTTTTACTATTTACATATAAAGAAAACCTATGACCCCCTTGGGACAGAGCCAATTTTTACACAAGGGACAAAATTTGAACAACGGGAACTACAGGTGGTATCATAAACCAAATATCAAAGTTCCTTGCCTTGTACTTGCAGACAAGTAGATATTTTCAATTTGCATTTTTGAAACTCCTTTTCTGTCCCCCTGACCTACTTTAGCAACAGACCAGAACCATTTAGGGACCACCTAAGAATGATTCCTTTAAAGTTTGGTTAATGTGCAGTCATTGGTTTCAGAGGAGATGTTGTTTAAAGAGATCGTTGACGACGAAGGACGCAGGGGGTCACAATAGCTCACAATGAGCATGTTCTGGTCAGGTGAGATAAAAAGCCAGGACTCATGGATGAACAATGACACTTCAATATCACTCTTCCAATTTTATCAGCCAGGAATAATAAAGTATAAAACTATTGACCTGGTATTTTCCAGATTGTGCTGTATAAACTCGCTCCAGCATCTACTTTCACTGTTTCTCCTGATATAAAACTTGCTGCAGGTGATAATAGAAAACAAACAGCAGCAGAAACCTGAAACAAAAATATAACTGAAGGTTATGGATGCTCCCTGGACATGCACATATGTCAATGTAACAAAAGCCATGTTCCCCGCCGAATATGTGTTTGCTCATTGGAAGAATATGTATGTAGTAGAGCAGAATAATTCAATTTTAAGAGGTCCTTTGATTATGAAAACTGATGCCAAAGTGATAACAGATTTGAAACCTATGTGAATACTGATGGTTGAAAATAACAAAGGGCAATAAATGAAAAATAATGCAGGGTAGGCTTGTGTGTTGCACTCCCCCTCAATGAGATCTATCCACCTATGAAGTTTCAAGTTGATACCTCCAACACTTTTAAGATAAGCTCCGGACAAAAAGTATGAAACATAACAAAGGGCATTAACTAAAAAATTATAAAGGATAGAGTTATCATTCTTGTGCACCAAACACCTCCTGAGTGAAATCTATCCACCTATAAAGTTTCATATTGATATCTCAAAGGCTTTTTTGAGTTATGCTCTGGACAAAAATTAAGTATGAAAAATAACAAAGGGCAATAACTCAAAAATTATGCAGGGAAGAGTTATCATTCTTGTGCACTGCACTCCTCCTCAATATTATCTATCCACCTATGAAGTTTCAAGTTGATACCTCAAATACTTGCTCTGGACAAAAATGTTGGACGGAAGGACGGAGACTATTTCAATATCACCCGCCGCCTTTTGGCAAGGGATAATAAATGTACATTAGTCATCAAAGGCTGTAAAGGCCGTAAGAGCAAAAGTTAAAAAAATATTTTTTGAACAAGTGTCGTGTTTCCAGTAATCCCCAACTCCAGCCTTAGTTAGAGGACAACCCAAGGTAACTACCTACCAAATATAACAGACAATAGTGAGTACCTTTTAACTCAAATCATCATGATGTGGTTGAAATTAGTGCCAAGTTATGTTAAAATTCTTCAATGTATGACAAAGTTACAGTCAAGATACAAATGTTTTGTAAGTGAACACACAGACATACAGATGATGCAATTTTAATATACTGCCCTTGCATTAAAACTAAGCTATAGCTCTTGTAGTTATAGAGAAGAAGTCTTTTGGAACTTTTTACTATATACATATCAGGATAATAAATGACCCCTGGGGTGTGGCTAATTTTAACGCCAGGGCTTTTATTTGAACAAACTTGGTAGACACCCACTAGAACAGGGCTGGGAATCAAAACTGCGTCGTATTCTACAAAACCTAAACAAAAGCCGTCATCTTGGAACGAAAAACATACGTTTTTGTTTATTACTCATTTTGTTGGAAATGATTGTAAACCAGATATATGTATTAACAAGCTCCACTATTTTCCACTTCGGTTTATGTTGCTTGCACAACTATTTTGTCAAACAAAAGTTATAGCGAACTTGCAACTCGAAGCGGGCCAGAATTTTTTTTAAAGTTTTGTACATACGACACAGTTCTTATTGCATTATCCATCATTTTCTTCCTTCAAATCAATTATATACTTGTTTCATAGCTAACCATAAAATTCAAAATATAATTTTACATCATTTACTAAAATTTCATTAAAAAAGAAATGTTTATTTTGAAAGAAAATACAGTTGACTCTCAATAAGTCATAATCGCTTTACTCAAAATTCTGTGTTCGTCGAAGAATTTCTAAAGTCCCGTCAAATTTCCTTCTTTATCTTTGTATTTTAACTCCGCTTAGGTCAAATTTTGACTTACCGAGACTACTGTTTAGTCGAAAAGAAAATTTGGTCCCATCAATTAAAGTCCAACATATTTTCATCTCAATTAGTCGAAGTGTGAAAATAGCCGACTGATCAAAGGTCGGCGACATCAAGGTGAGATGTTGTCACTCGATATTCACACGTTTCATAGTAATTTTAATTGCAGGTCATCATGTATTATTAACAGTCATGAAAGTGGTTTTAATCGGTTTCAGGACTTAGTTGGTTTTAACAGTTAGATTAACTAAATTAAGATTTAATTAATTAGTCTTTAAGAAAGTTGACTCTTTCCAGTCTGACAGGTGTTAGTCAAATAAAGCCTAGGTATTGATGTGTGTTATCAACGTAAATGAATAAATCTTTTTGAAGATGATAGTTCTTTATCAGTAACAAGCGATGATTCTAAATATATATAATAAAATGACTCTAAATATTGATCTTAAAACTATTACTGAATGGGCAGACCAATGGCTTGTAACGTTTAATCTTAATAAGACAGAAGTATTATTTTGTTCTCTTATTAGAAATGAAAGACCTTTTTTGTACTTCAACAATTTTCAACATAATTACACTCAACACCACAGGCATTTGGGGTAACCTTAAGTGATGATGGAACTTGGCATGAACATATTAATAATATAACTAACTTGGCATCCAAAATATTAGGTTCTATGCGTTTATTAAAGTTCAAATTAAATAGAACAACATTAAATCAAATTTATATTTCCTATATGAGGCCTTTACAAGAATATGCTTGTGTTATTTGGGATAGTTGTACCTTATATGAAAAAGAAAAAATTGAAAAAATGCAATACGAATCTGCGCGCTTAGTAACTGTTTGACTCGCTCAGTGTCTATAGAAAGACTTCTGCACGAAATAGGTTGGGTCTCTTTAGCAAATCGCCGTTTAATGCAAAAATTATCAATAATGTATAAAGCTAAAAATGGGGAGCTTCCAAGTTATCTGGACACTTTGTTCCCAAATTTTGTATCAGAAAGTAGCCAATATAACCTTAGAAATAACGATAATTACGTAACAATAGCACGACGAACAGAAATATTTTCTAGATCATTTATACCCTCAGCAATTTCGGCATGGAATAGTCTTGATAATGAGATACGTGACTCGCCTTCTTTAAATGTGTTCAAAACTAAACTCAAGGATAAATTCAAACCCACATTTGTCCCTAAATATTATTTAATTGGAGAAAGATTAACATCTGTTTACCATGCACGTTTAAGAAATAGATGTAGTAATTTGAATGATGATCTGTATAGAAATCACTTAGCAAACTCCCCTGTTTTTGAGTTTTGCCATATCAAGGAGGATGCTGAACATTTCTTTTTTAATTGTAAACTTTTTGGTGTTCAAAGACTCCAACTTTTCACTTCCACTCGCTCTTTTCATCCATTAAGTACAAGTACTCTCCTTTATGGAAAAGAAAATTTATCAGTCGAGGAAAACTCTTTTTTATTTTATGAGGTTCAAAAATATATAACGAGAGCACCGCTAGGCGGAGCATTATATGCCCGAAAGTGTTTTTTTTAGTAAGGATGAAGCATTTGTAAGACATGAGAATTAGCTGTTCATCCTATAAAATTTTACAGCTGTAGGTTGCTGAATACTTAAGTTATTAATAATGACCTTAACCTTTGACCTTGTGATCCCAAAATCAATAGGGGTCTTCTACTTAATATGGACAATCATCCTAAGAAGTTTGAATATTGTGGGCCAAATGGAACTTTAGTTATGCTCCGGAAACTGTTTTCAATTTTAAGGTAAAAGTGACCTTGACCTTTGACCTTGTGACCCCAAAATCAATAGGGGTCTTCTATACTATATGGACAATCATCCTATGAAGTTTGAATATTATGGGCCAAATGGAACTTAAGTTATGCTCTGGAAACTGTTTTCAGTATTAAAGTAAAAGTGACTTTCACCTTTGACCTTGTGACCCCAAAATCAATAGGTGTCTTCTACCCAATATGGACAATCATCCTATGAAGTTTGAATATAGTGGCCCAAATGGAACTTACGTTATGCTCCGGAAACTGTTTTTGGTTTTAAGGTAATTGTGACCTTGACCTTTGACCTAGTGACCCCAAAATTAATAGGGGTCTTTTGCCCAATATGGACAATCATCCTATGAAGTTTGAATATTGTGGGCAAAATAGAACTTAAGTTATGCTTCAGAAACTGTTTTCAGTATTAAGGTAATAGTGATCTTGACCTTTGACCTGTGACCCCAAAATCAATATGGGTCTCATACCCAATATGGACAATCATTCTATGAAGTTTGAATATTGTGGGTCAAATGGAACTTAAGTTATGCTCTGGAAACTTTTTTCAATTTTAAGGTAATAGTGATCTTCACCTTTGACCTTTTGACCCCAAAATCAATAGGGGTCTTCTACCCAATATAAACAATAATTCTATGAAGTTTGAATATTGTGGGCCAAATGGAACTTAAGTTATTCTCTAGAAACTTAAGTTATGCTCTGGAAACTTTTTTCAATTTTAAGGTAATAGTGATCTTGACCTTTGACCTTTTGACCCCAAAATCAAAAGGGGTCTTCTACCCAATATGGACAATCATCCTATGAAGTTTGAACATTGTGGGCCAAATGGAACTTAAATTGAAATTGAATTGCTAACGGACGGACGTACGGACAGACAGACAGACGCCAGGGGGTGTAACATAATATGCCCTTTCGGGCATATAAAAAATACACATAGATTTAAATAATAAGAAATTAGTACATGTAAAAATAACAATCGTTGTTCCAATTTTAATTCTTCTAATTCCCCTTATAAATGACATATTTTGCCAGCCATACAAACCATCACATACTGCAAGTGCAGGAAAATTACTATTATTTTTTATATTTAAAAAATTGATTAGCAAATGTATTTTATTCTTTTAAATTTGATGTCGAATTCTATTTGCTACTTTGTTTTTGTATCCTTTTTAATAATTGTAATTGCTCATGTGTATAGTGTTTAAACATGTTTTTGTTTCTATATCTTATAATGCTTAAGGGAAGGACAGTTACTAATGTTGCTAGAACTTGTTGTTCAACATTTTTGCCCTTTGTTAAAAAATGTTATTTTGTAGAAATAACGTTCTAAAATAGTATTCAAAAGCGCAATAAAATATTATTAAACCAACGTAAATGACATTTGTATAATTAATGTTCCCTCATATTGCAAACGTTAATATGTACTTCCGGTTCATGATAGTTGCTACTTTTGTTTTCGTCCGATGATCAATTCACTTCAAATATTAGATAAATTGTTGTTGAAATAAATATGTTATTGTGCTTTTATTGTTACAGTAATGAATTGTCATGAGTGCTTATAAAAACATGTGCTTGACTGATGAAAACTGACAAACTTGCATTTATGTCATTGCTATTGTCCAACAACATTGACCTGGCACTCTTGCATTTGACCCCATAGTCGGTAAATTCCGTAAACGTTACAATCTATTGTAAATCGATATGAATGTATATAACCAGTTGTTAAATGATCTAAATTACAAATCCCTCTTAGCACAGTCGTAAAGTGCTTTCACTTCAAGAATATAGACCCAAAGATTCATGTTACCTGTTATAAGCACACTGTTTAACTGGTGCCAGTGATGACAGAGAAATCATTTACTACAGGTATGTTTAATGTATATTTTAAGAAGAATACTGATTTTCTGGTAACATAATATTGTTTATTTATTTCACAATTGGAAATTTAACATTTCCTCAAATAATTTGGTCAGCTAAAATATTCAAAGATCTAAAGATACAACCTCTTCAACAGTGCCAAGTCGTTTGGCAGGAACACCAGGGATATTCATGTTGAATATATCTTGTGATCCATAGTTGGCAGCTGCTGTGTCTGAATATATAGAACTTCCCTGAAAAAAAGAAACAAAACAAAACAAAAACGTGTTTGTTAAACACAAATGCCCCTGGCACAGATTCTTGTCAGTAACAATATTTCAAAACAATATTTCAAAACATATTTACCCATTCATTCAGTTAAAGACATAAAATTGCCAAAAAAAAAGTAAACACAGATATAACTTGACAGAATCATGCAGTTTTGTAATTGTGAAAATTATAAGTTGTAAAGTCATTGTTTTGACTTGTGATGAAGTTGAAACATATTCAACTTTATCAAATACTAGTATCTTTACATGTAAATGCAAAACTTTACCTTGAACCCAGCAAACCCAAACTCCATCAAAAATAAAAGGACCACCATAGGTATGTTCCTTGTAAATATTAGACATTGGTAAAAAAATACAAAGGCTGTATAAAAAATTGTAAAACAATCTATTGTCATTACAAGTGACATTGACTTTGTGACTCCCGGCACTGGATTATCCAAGGAAATATGAACAAGGCAGTCTGAAGGACAGCTAAATCCCCTTCCTCAGTGAACATGAATGTGTACTTCTTGGCCTTTTACCAACCATGACCTTGATGTTGTGTCATGCATATCATAAGAACATAATCTCATATAGTGGTTATTAGTACAAAGTTATTTAAAATCTTCAATAAAGTAAACTAGAATTATCACTAAATGTGATTAATATCCCCGCAAGACTGCTTCAGAAATGAGGATGTTACTACTAACAGAATACCTTGTAAAACAATTGAAATACAGTTATGGTTGTGGGCAATTAAAGATAGTTGTGGTTCTTGTATGTTGTATTTCCTTTCAATGTGGTTTGCCATTGATGAAGTTATATTGAATTACTCTGCAATAAGTCCAAAAAGACAAGGAAAAGGAACAAAGGGCAATAACTCTATAAATACTGAAGATGGAGTTATGGTTATTATACACTGCACTTCCTCTCATTGTCCTTGACTATTGTATGAAGTTGTATTGAATTCCAACTACAAGTTTTCAAGTTATGCACATTAAAAAAAAGTAACAAAGGGCAATAACTGTAATTAGTCCAAATAGAGTTATGGTTCTTGTGCACTGCACTTCATCTCACTGCCCTAGACCATTGTATAAAGTTTCATTGAATTCCAAAGTTAATTTTTAAGTTATGCACAGGACAATAAAAAGTAACAAAGGGCAAAAACTTTTAAATGAGTCCAGAAAGAGTTATGATTTATGTACAATGTGCTTCCTCTCAATATACTTGACCATTGTATGAAATAGTATTGAATTCCAACTAGTAGTTTTCAAGTTATGCTCTGGACAAGAAAAAAGCAATGGAAAAGTAACAAAGGGCAATAACTCTATAATTACTCTGGACAGAGTTATAGTTCCTGTGCACTGCACTTCCTCTTATTAAAACCAGTACGTTTTAAGTTATGCTCTGGACAAGGAAAAGTATCAAAGGGCAATAACTCTGTAATTTGTCAAAATGGTGTTATGGTTATTGTGCACTGCACTTCCTCTTAATGTGCTTGACAACTGTATGAAATTGTATTGAATTCCAACCAGTAGTTTTCAAGTAATGGTCCGGACAAGGAAAAGTAACAAAGGGCGATAACTCTGTAATTAGTTAAGATGGAGTTATGGTTCTTGTGCACTGCACTTCCTCTAACTGTGCTTGACCATTGTATGAAATTATATTGAATTCCAACCATTTGTCTTCAAGTTATGCTCCGAACAAAAAAAGCAATGGAAAAGTAACAAAGGGCAATAACTCTGTAATTAGTCAAGATGAAGTTATGGTTCTTGTGCACTGCACTTCCCCTTATTGTGCTTGACAATTTCATGAAGCTGTTTTGAATTCCAACCAGTAGTTTTCAAGTTATGCTCCGGACAAGGAAAAGTAACAAAGGGCAGTAACTCTGTAATTAGTAGAGATGGAGTTATGGTTCTTGTGCACCCGCACTTCCTCTCAATGTGCTTGACCATTGTATGAAATTATATTGAATTCAACCATTAGTCTTCAAGTTATGGTCCGGGCAAAAGAAAGCAATGGAAAAGTAACAAAGGGCAATAACTCTGTAATTACTTTAGATAGAGTTATGGTTCTTGTGCACTGCACTTCCCCTTATTGTGCTCGACAATTGTATGATGTTGTTGTGAATTCCAACCAGTAGTTTTCAAGTTATGCTCCGGACAAGGAAAAGTAACAAAGGGCAATAACTCTGTAATTAGTCAAGATGGACTTATGGTTCTTGTGCACTGCACTTCCTCTCAATGTGCTTGACCATTGTATGAAGTTATATTGACTTCCAACCATTAGTTTTCAAGTTATGCTCCGGACAAGGAAAATGCAACGGACCGCTGGACCGACCGACCGACCACCGGGTGACTCCTAAATACCCCCCCAAACTTCGTTTTTGGGGGTATAAAAAGTTATGGTGGACTTATAACCTTGACCTTGGGTGTAGCAACCTGGATGTTGAGCTCTTCAGATTGTGTCATGGTGGGGATCATTGTGCCAAGTAATTTTAAAACCTTTGTATTGTCAATAAGTTATAGAGCGGACATGAAAAATAAATGTTTTTACATTGGACCTTTGAGTGTGACCCTGACCTTCAGGGTTTTGACTTGATTATTGTGCTCTGCCAATGGTGTCATAATGGTGATTATTTCTGCCAAGTTATCTTAAAAACATTGCAGCAGTTTAAATGTTATGGACAGACACGAAATGTAGACTTTCTAACATTTGACCTGTAAGTGTGACCTTGACCTTGGGGGTAGCAATTCAATTATTGCGCTCTGCACATCATCTCATAATGGTGATCACTTGTGCCAAGCTATTTAAAAAAAATTCAGAGGTTTAAAAGTTATGGAGGGTGCATGCAATGTAGACTTTTATACATTTGACCTTAAAGTGTGACTTTGACCTTGGGGGTAGCAACCCAATTATTGCGCTCTGCACATGTTCTTATAATGGTAATCATTTGTGAAAAAAAAGTCAGCGGTTTAAAAGTTATGGAGCAGACACAAAATGTAGACTTTTTATTATAAAATGAAGACTTTTTAACATTTGACCTTTAAGTGTGACCTTTACATTGGGGGTAACAACCTTATTATTGCACTCTTCATATGGTCTTATTATGGTAATCACTTGTGTCAAGTTATTTCAAAAAATTTTCAGCGGTTTAAAAGTTATGGAGTGGACACGAAATGTAGACTTTTTATTATGAAATAAAGACTTTTTAACATTTGACCTTTAAGTGTGACCTTGACTGTGGGGGCAGCAACCCAATTATTGCGCTCTGCACATCTTCTCAATATGGCGATCACTTGTGCCAAGTTATTTCAGAAAATTTCAGCGGTTTAAAAGTTATGGCGGGGACACGACAGTGTTACAGACAGACAGATGGACGGACTTACGAAATAGTTCTTATGTACTTTTTTAGCCATTTTTAGTCACACAACGCTTTAAGAAAGACACACAAGTAATAACGGAATGAATAGGATCAAAGACAATTTACTGTTACCCATTGTTCTCCAAGTCACACAAGTACCTCTGGGTTTGTACAGACGGACTGACTGCCGGACTGACAGACGGAGGCCATTCCTATAATCCCCTTGCCGCTACGCGGAAGGGGATTAAAAACTTCAGGCTATAAATAAAGGCTGTATAAGCCTATGTATAACAAGAGGGCCATGATGGCCCTGGATAGCTCCCCTGACCCATCAACCGCATCCAAGCAATGTCTTAGACAAGCATCCTGGCCAAGTTTGATGACAATTGAGTCCAAAATGTGACCGCTAGTGTGTTAAAAAGGTTTTCCATATTTGGGCAATGCGACCTAATTTTTGACTGGAGACGACCCATGTTCAAACTTGACTTAGAAATCTTCAAAACAACCTTTCTGACAAATTTCCTGAATATTTGGATCAAAACTGGAGCCACTACAGTGTTATAAAGATTTTTCTATTTTTAGCTTCTGTGACCTGGTTTTGACCGGAGATCACCCATCTTCGAACTTGACCTAGAAATCATCAAAACAACCTTCCTGACAAATTTCCAGAATATTTGGATCAAAACTGCAGCTACTAGAGTGTTAACAAGCTTTTTCTATTTTTAGCTCCTGTGACCTAGTTTTTGGCCGTAGATGACCCATCTTCGAACTTGACCTAGAAATCATCAAAACAACCTTTCTGACAAATTTCCAGGATATTTGGATCTAAACTGCAGCCAGTAGAGTGTTAACAAGCTTTTTCTGTTTTTAGCTCCTGTGACCTAATTTTTGACTGGAAATATCCCATCTTCGAACTTGACCTAGAAATCATCAAAACAATCTTCCTTCCTGACAAATTTCCAGGATATTTGGATCAAAACTGCAGCCAGTAGAGTGTTAACAAGCTTTTTCTATTTTTAACTCCTGTGACCTAGTTTTTGACAGTAGATGACCCATCTTTTAACTTGACCTAGAAATCATTAAAACAACCTTCCTGACAAATTTTCAGATTATTTGGATCAAAACTGCAGCCACTAGAGTGTTAACAAGCTTTTTCTATTTTTAGCTCCTGTGACCTAGTTTTTGACCGGAGATGACCCATCTTCGAACTTGACCTAGAAATCATTAAAACAACCGTCCTGACAAATTTCCAGAATATTTGGATCAAAACTGCAGCCAGTAGAGTGTTAACAAGCTTTTTCTATTTTTAGCTCCTGTGACCTAGTTTTTGACCGGAGATGACCCATCTTTGAACTTGACCTAGAAATCATTAAAATAACCTTCCTGACAAATTTCTAGAATATTTGGATCAAAACTGTAGCCACTAGAGTGTTCTAGCTTTTTCTATTTTTAGCTCCTGTGACCTATTTTTTGACTGGAAATGACCCATCTTCGAACTTGACCTAGAAATCATCAAAACAACCTTCCTGACAAATTTCCAGAATATTTGGATCAAAACTGCAGCCACTAGAGTGTTAACAAGCTTTTTCTATTTTTAGCTCCTGTGACCTAGTTTTTGACC